CTATTATTTTTCACTTTATGTTTCTGTGTGGGAGCAAACTGTTGAAATCCTTACTTAATGTATACTAAGCTGATCTTCTGTATATTAAGATAATAGAAAATGAATCTTGATGTGAATGGAAGGGGAGAGGGAGTGGGAAAGGGGAGGGTTACGGGTGGGAGGGACGGTATGGGGGGGAAGCCATTGTAATCCATAAATCGTACTTTGGAAATTTATATTCATTAAATAAAAGTTAAAAAAAAAAGAAATATCCAAATTATCCATGGCAAAATAAATAAATAAATAAATAGATAGATAGTTCCCCAACACTGCTATGTAGGATCCTGAAACAGGAAAAGCACATTAAATAAAAACTAAGAAAATCCGAATCAAATATTGATGCTGGTTAATAATACCATATTGGGGCCAGCACTGTGGCGTAGCAGGTAAAGCCACCACCTTCAGTGCCAGCATCCCATATGGATGCCAGTTTGAGTCCTGGCTGCTCCACTTCCGATCCAGTTCTCTGCTGTGGCCTGGGAAAGCAGTAGAAGATGGCCCAAGTCCTTGGGCCCCTGCACCCACGTGAGAGACCCGGAAGAAGCGCCTGGCTCCAGGCTTCGGTCTGGCGCAGCTCCGGCCTTTGCAGCCAATTGGGGAGTGAACCAGTGGATGGAAGACCTCTCTCTCTGCCTCTCCCTCTCTCTCTGTAACTCTTTCAAATAAATAAATTTTTAAAAAATACCATATTGACTTTGGCTCATTATATAAGAAATATACCATAGTAAATAGGGGAAACATGCAAACTCTTTGTATGATCTTCATGATTTTTTATTAATCTAAAACAGTTCAAAATATAAAGTTTATTAAAAACAAAAATAATTCAATGACCAAGAATCAACAGAATTCAGCTCACTATCATACCACCACCACAACCATAGTCAGATGAAGTTACAATCAAATATACCATTCACAGCCATTCCATCTGTTCAGAATGTTCCGGTACGCACCATACTCATCCACTCAAAAAGTATATATTCAGTACCTACTTTGTAGCAGATACTATCATGGGTCCTGAGAATAATGTGATGGTAAAAACAAAGTTTCTGCTCTGAGTAGTTTGCATTTTGATGTAAATTAAAATACCACAGTTCTAGCTATTAAAGGAAATCAAGGGCATAAGTAGCTTCCTGATCTTCAGCCTCTGATTCTAAATACATGTCCCAGAGTGTCTAGCACTTGACAGTCTTCTCTGAAAAACACATGGACTTGGGCTGGTGCCATGGCTCACTTGGTTCATCCTCCGCCTGCGGCACTGGCATCCCATATGGGCAACAAGTTCTAGTCCCAGTTGCTCCTCTTCCAGTCCAGCTCTCTGCTGTGGCCCGGGAGGGCAATGGAGGATGGTTCATGTGCTTGGGCCCCTGCACCCGCATGGGAGACCAGGAGGAAGCACCTGGCTCCTGGTTTCAATTGGCACAGCGCACCAGCCGTAGCAACCATTTGGGGGGTGAACCAACGGAAGGAAGACCTTTCTCTCTGTCTCTATCTCACTGTTTAACTCTATCTGTCAAATAAAAAAAAATGGACTGACTGTAAGCAGGGATGTCTGAAAAAAAGAAATGAGCCCACCCCTACAAAGAGGTACTTGCTAGCCTCCAAAACAGCCAGTACCACCTCAAATGGACTTCTCCATAGAGAAGTCTCAGATTTAAAGAATAGGATTTTCTTCCCAAGGTACAGAAGAGTTATACATATACAAAAGAGTTTGCAGTAGAAAAGAATAATTAAAAGACTCTAAAGAGAAAAGCTGATTGGGAGCTGATATCTGCCCAAATATTTGCCATTTATTTCTGCCTACATAATCAGCAAGTTTCTCAAGTTCAACTGATTAAACATTCCCTTCCCAACACCAATTCCCATCACACTAACTCCTCCTTCAGCAACAGTTCAATGCTATCGCTTTCCCAGTATTAAACAACAGGACAACTGCAGCTCCCTTCCCTTTTCTTCTGACCCCTATTGCTCTCCTTTCGCGCGCACACACACACACACACACGCACACACACTGAGTAACCACATCTTCTTGTTCTTTGAATGTGTTGTCTCAAATCCATCTGTTCCATTTGACTCTTGGTATCAACTGACTATACGCAATTATTTCTCCTCTTAAGAGTTTTCCCCCACCCTAATATTTTCCACTCCAAATCACCCTTACCGTTTTTCTCAATGTTTCCAAACCACTTCTTGGATCACATCACAGACCTTTATATATCATCCTCAAAACCTAGACTAGAACTCAACTTCCAGCCAAACTATTGTTTTCTACAATGCCAAGTTTTATATTCCACTACTTTTTTACATTAATACAACACTGCCTTACCTTAGTCCTCATTGTTATTCCCCTATTTCCTAATATTTTTCATCTTTGAATCAGAACAATGTCAGATGTATGGAGTCCAACCTCTTGACTCAAAAAAACAAAAAAGGAAAATAAACTCCAAAGAGGTCAAAATGACCTGTCTTACGACACACAAGTAGAAAGAAAAAATTCAAACCTAGAAGAACCTATGCCACCTAAAGTGCTAATTCTGAAATGTTTCCTTCTCCACTGTGGCAGAGGCCTTGTCTTCTAAGCAAATTTATTTCTAGCTGACATGATTAGATTAAAGTCGTGGTAGAGGCCTTCCCAAGGTCAAAAGAAGAAAAAGGGAGGAATCTATCCTGAGAATGAAAAGCAATTATTATCTACTTGCTTATGAATGCAAAAACTGTAGTCCCTACCTACTCACATGGAACCATTTCAGGTTCTGCCTGTTAGAACCAAGCAATGATGTTAACCCTGGCCAGACAGCAGACAGTGTCATCAGTAACTCTGCTCCCATGTGGAGCAGTCCTGTGGCTGCCATTAACATTAGAATATCCAATTAAATATATGCTTGTAACCATTTAAGGGAGACAAAGAGGCTAAAACCATATATAAGGAAAAAACCCCTCTTTGTTCAAGGCTCAGGCTTTTAGATAAGTAAGGTATACTAAGCTGATCTTCTGTATATTAAGATAATCGAAAATGAATCTTGATGTGAGTGGAAGGGGAGAGGGGGTGGGAGGGGGGAGGGTTGTGGGTGGGAGGGTCGGTATGGGGGGGGAAGCCATTGTAACACATGAGTCGTACTTTGGAAATTTATATTCATTAAATAAAAGATAAAAAAAAAAAAAGAAATTCCACCTGGGCCTTCCTGTTTTTTTTTTTTTTTTATCTTTTATTTAATGAATATAAATTTCCAAAGTACGACTCATGGGTTACAATGGCTTTCCCCCCCATACCGTCCCTCCCACCCACAACCCTCCCCTTTCCCACTCCCTCTCCCCTTCCATTCACATCAAGATTCATTTTCGATTATCTTAATATACAGAAGATCAGCTTAGTATACCTTAAGTAAGGATTTCAACAGTTTGTTCCCACACAGAAACATAAAGTGAAAAATAATAGATGATTTTTTTTTAAATCATGATGAAATCAGATCAGACCTATTGTCATGTTTAATCCCAGTGAGAGTCAAGTTGGGAATTGATAATTTCTTTTCTTTTTTTTTTTTTTTTTTTTTACAGAAGATCAGTTTAGTGTACATTAAGTAAAGATTTCAATCGTTTGCACCCCCATAGAAACACAAAGTGAAATATACTGTTTGAGTACTCGTTATAGCATTAAGCCTCAGTGTACAGCACATTAAGGAAAGAGATCCTACATGAGGAGTAAGTGCACAGTGACTCCTGTTGTTGACTTTACAAATTGACACTCCTGTTTATGGCATCAATAATCTCCCTATGCACCAGTCATGAGTTTCCAAGGCTATGGAAGCCCCTTGAGTTCTCCGACTCTTATCTTGTTTAGACAAGGTCATAGTCAAAGTGGAGGTTCTCTCCTCCCTTCAGAGAAAGGCACCTCCCTCTTTGAAGACCTGTTCTTTCCACTGGGATCTCACTCACAGAGATCTTTTTGCCAGAGTGCCTTGGCTTTCCATGCCCCAAATGGTAGAGTTAGAAACATACCAGGGGATTCCAATTCAATCCCATCAAGGTGGCATGTGCCAATGCCATCTCACTATTCCAAGTGATCAATTTCAGTTCACAATTGATCATAATGAAAGGACTAAGAGTCAAAGGGAGCACATAAACAAGTCTAGTATCTGCTAACACTAACCGATAGAATAAATAAAGGGGAGAGTGATCCAACATGGGAAGTGAGATACTCAGCAGACTCATAGAATGGCGGATGTCCTAAATAGCACTCTGGCCTCAGAATCAGCCCTAAAGGCACTCGGATCTGGCTGAAAAGCCCATGAGAGTATTTCAGGCCTTGGTGTCTTGTCTCCGTACAGGATTCCTACTGCACCACCTAGCCACATCCTGGCTGTTTTTTCAATCCCAGTATAATGTTTTCTTTTCTTGATTAAGCCCTATATTGAAGTTTGTAGCAGTCTTGGCAAAGAAGGAACAAAAGATGTGCTAAGAAAACTTGGGTTCCTGACTATTATTAGCAGTTACATGTCTCATTGAGCGCTGACAATTTTATAATAAAGAGGAAAAAAATTTTAACCAGTACTGTTTAATCACAGGTTAGACATTCTGATGGATGCTTTGCATAAATTACCTCAATTTATCCTTTTTTTTTTTTTAAATGATGAAATACTCAAGAAATGTTACCTCCTTGTCCAAGATAACACAAATGGTTAGTGGAAAAGCTGGATTTGATCCCAGTTGGGACTAAATATATCATCCTCTATTGTTCACATTCAAGAAGGTTTTCATGCCCATTTTTCCACAAGTAGAACCAGTTCTAGTATTTCCCCCACACCAATCCCTAACTCCTGAATTTACTAACTAGGGCCGGCAGCGAGCTGCAACAACCGCCTGCAGAGTTCTAACCGAAGTCCTGCCATTCCCCGCCTCTGCCAGGTTTCCAGTCACCACCCTCATGTGCCCTCCAAGGGTCTGGCGGGCAAGATGGCGGCCCCCACCTGGCGGCGCCTCCCACCGGCTCCTCAGGCCGCGGGTCCACCTCGTAAACATCGTTGAAATGAAGGATGGTCAAGTCGTAGGGACCGACGTCTCCTGGCCTGTCCCCCGACGTGTTCAGAGAGTGCTCTGCCTCCGCCTCCAGGAGCTGAGGCGGTGCTGCAGCGAGGGCCTCCGCCTCGGCCTCCATTTCCTGGGAAGGTCCGGATGGGGGCTGAGCCACCGTGGCCGGTCCACCGCGCGCGAGGACCTGGGCTGCAGCTGGAGGGTCGTCGGCGCATGCGCGAGGCGTGGTCCCGGCATCCTCCCCTCCTCTCCGAGGCGAGGCCTGTGTGCACCGACCGCCCCGACGCGACCTAGGGACCCGTAGGCCTCGCCCTGTGGTGTGCGGGCCCTTGAGGGCCTAAGGGAAACCCTGGCGCCCCTTGTTCATTGTTTTCGGGGGATCTCCGAAGCAGACGGCAGAGTAACAGAGCTCATAATTCAGAGCGTAGTCAAAAGTTTGTTTTTTAAAAATCTTGCTGCGCAGACGTTTACTGTGCGCCTCATGCCTCCTCCCTGTAAGGATTTTGCCCCCTTTACAGGAAAATGGGAAGGGAAAATTGGGGGTGATCGTTAGTCCAACGTAAAACCTGTTCTGCAACCAGTTCTGTGATTCCTCCTCTGATCATCCCTCCGACCTTCAGTTTATCCGCTAATTGAAAGTAGCTGCCCTGACAACAGGGACTTACTTGTGCGTGGCACTGATAGGAAAGGGAAGAGATTAGATGCGGCCCTTGCCCTCAAGGACGCTATATGGGATACCTTTTTGTCACTCTGGTCCCATTTTTTCCAAACTTTTCCATAACTCTAGGAGCCCATTTCTGCTTCTGCTATAATCCAGATGAACCTCCCTTTGCTCACTTAAAATTTCAGCATTTCACAAACAAAATTTGATTCCTCAGCTGTAACTTTCTGTTACATCTAATATGACACTGATATACTGTTTTCTGTTGTGGTGTAGGCTCTGACATTCCATGTGAGAATAGAGCAAGGGAAAAACTATTATTTCTATTGAATTATATTTTGCAGTAGTTATTGTAGACTGATGGAACTGGTCCAATCAATCAGTAAGATACCCCAGAGTGCGGCAACCTCTTGGAATATGGCCAGTTGGTCATTTGCTCAATTGAACCAGGATAAATAAACACATCTAGGAGACTAAAAAGTGCCAAATTTGCTCAAATAAGGAACTAAAACTTGAACAATTAAGTGAACATTAAAGAAAATGAAATGGGAGCCAAAAATCTCTTTTTTCAAAAAGCCTTAACAAGTCTGAAGTTGCTCAGCCTATTTTAGGAGGTTAATATAACCATGATTATAAACCCGATTAAAACAGGAAGATAAAATTACAAACCACGTGAGCTCTATGTATAAATCTGTATGTATGATTACTTTTAAGAAAGTAATTTTCAATCCAGTAGTACATTTCAAAATTGTGTTCTTTAGAGTTTATCCCAAGAATGTTAAGAATGATTTAACATCAGAGAAATCTATCCATCTAATTTGCCATATTAATATACTGAAATAGAAAACTTAATTATTATGGCAAATGATGCAAAAATAAATCTTTGATAAAGTTAAGTGTTTATTATTAAACATTCCTAACATCAAATGAATAAAGGACCTTTCTTAGGTTGGTGAACCAACAGCAAAATTTTACCTAATGAACTTTAAATATGTTCTCTGTATGAACAGAAATAAGACAAGACTGACCTCTATCACCACCACTGTTTAACAGATTGTCAGATATCCTAGGAAACACTGTAAGATACAGGGGAAAGGAGGAAGGGAAGGAAGTGCCAGGGAGAAATTAATGTAACATATCCAATTAGGAGAATGAATGACAAAAAAAAAAACAAAACTACATAATCACCTCAGTAGAAACAGAAAAAGCATTTAACAGAATCCTATGGCCATTCATGGTTAAGCTTTCAACAAGTGAGAAATTGAAATAAACGTCCTGCCTTATCAAGGGGCATCTCTGCACAACCTACAGTTCACAGACTTACTGGAGACACTCTGAATGCTTTCCCCCTGAGATTATGAACAACACAAGGTTGATCACTCTCACTAGTCCTAGTCAGCATTAACTAGAAAATGTAGCCACTCCAATGAGGCAGGAAAAAGAAGTGAAAGCCATCCAGATTGTAAAGAAAGAAGTAAAACTTTTCACTTGCACATGACATAATTTTGCATGCAGAATATTCTGAAGAAGTCAAACGCAAAAAAGAATTTGAATGGGGTCTATGGAAACTGTCCTATCTTCACAAGAATTCTCTAAATTATTTTGACATTTAAAGTTTGTTTTTAAAAAAGTTGTTTGATCTTTACTTAGTATAGAGTTGGTCTTCTGTGTATAAAGTTAATTGAAAATAGATCTTAGTGGAGAATGGGACTCAGAATGGAAGGGGGAGGAGGAGTGGGAGTGTGGGTGGGAGGGCAGGTATGGTGGGAAGAATCACTATATTGCTAAAGCTGTACTTATGAAATGCATAAAGTTTGTATTCCTTAAATAAATGTTTCTTTGGGGGAAGAAAAGCTGTTTGAATAAAGAAGTTCAGTAAAATCACAAAATGCAGGATCAATTTACAAAAGTAAGTCATTTCTTTATACTATGAATGACCAATCTGAAAGAGAAATAAAATAATTTAATTCACAATAGCATCAAAAAGGACAAAATACTTAGGAAAAAATTCAAAAGAAGTTACTGACTTGCAAACCGAAATTGTAAAATATTGTTGAGAAAAATTCTAAGTAAATGGAGAGAATTTCCATATATTCTTGGATTTGAAGACTCAACATTATAAAGATATCAATTCTCTCCAAATCTACAGAATCAACAGAATCTCTATCAAAAGTCATGCAGGCTTTTTTGGGGAGAATTTAGAAACTGATTCAAAAATTTATGTGGAACAGGAAAAGACCAGAATTGTCCAAAAATTTTAACAAAGATCATTTACTTTATTTCATTGAATATAGTTTTTTTTATTTTATAAGCATTTATAATGATTGTTTTGACACCTTTATCTCTGTGAAGTCAATGTGTGGACCCTCTTGGAGTCATTTTTATTGACCCCCATGCTTCTTGAGTAAGGGTCCCACTTTTCTTTTTTGCCTATCTAGTAATATTTTGTTGGAAACTAGACATTATACAATAATACGGTGTAGTAACTTATAACTCTGTTGTATTTATCTGAAGGTTGTTGTTACTTGCTTGTGTTCAAATTGCAATTGTTTTCTGTGTTACACAACTACTAATATATGTATTCTAATCTTTTAAAAATGTATTTGTTTACTTATTTATATATATACGTGTACACACACACACACACACACATATATATATATATATATTTGAAAGGCAGAGCAACAGAAAAAGAGGGAGACACAGAGAGAGATCTTCCATCCACTGGATTACTCCTAAAATAGCTGCAACACCCAGGTCTGCATCAGGCAGAAGCCAGAGGCCCATGTACTTGACACATTAGCAGGAAGCTGGATGGGAAGTAGAATATCTGAGACTCAAATCACCACTTGGATAATAGATGCTGGCATACAGTCAGTGGCTCAACCACTGTGCCACAACATTTATGTTCTAGTCTTATGACTTGTGCTTACTGGTGTCAACTTGACTCCTGGTGTATACCATATGCCTGTGTAATTTGAAAAATCGTTCAAGATTTGTCAGACATTATACTCATGTTTGAATACTCTCCCTAGATTCCTTATTTCTTAGAATCCCTTTTTAATTTTAAGATACTCTGTAGAGGTTCTGTCAGTTGACACTTCAAGCCCTTAATTTCAGCTTTATCCTGCACAAACTGCACACAACTGCAATATGCACTTAGTTTATGCTACCGTTTGAATATGGTTTGTGCCTCCCCTCTCCCCATTCAAGAGGTTCCTGTGTTAGGAACTTGGTCTAGGGCAGCAGCATTGAAAACTGCTATGGAACCTTTAAGAGGTGGGGCCTGAGTAGGAGGTACTTAAGTCATTAGGGGTCATGCTCTGAGAATGTGGTTCTCATGTGGCCCTTAAGTTCACTCCAGAGCAAGTTGGTTGTTATAAGGGGAGCCATGTCTGTCTTCTGGTTTGAGATATGGTTACCTGCTCCAACAGGCCCCCAACATTGCCATCTGCAAGCAGCGAGCTCTTGAACCAGATCTGAGCTAAATAAACCTCTTCTCTTCATGTGTAGCCTGTGTCATGTCTTTTGTTATAGTGCTGAGAAACTTACACAATTTTTAAAAGGCCAGCAAACTTGGCTGTCATACTATGAGGAGCCATTTTTCTGCTTTTTGCTGAATACACTAGAGTCACCATCATAGCTGAGTAGTTTAGGAATTCACAGAGTTTATACTCAGATTTGGGGTTTCACTCTTTGTTATTTTCCCATTCAAAATTTTCCCTTTAAATTTCCAGCTGATTTTTCAACCTTAAAGTCAGCTCTGGCACCTTGATTGACAGGGCTGTGGTTTATACCTGTGGCTTACTAACTTAGCAGCACTGGGGGGCGGAGAAAATCATCAGGTCAACCCCTTCTCAGAACAAACCACAAATCTTCAGTTCTTACCCCCTCCAGTTGCAGTTTTTTGAGAGAAAATTTTCCTCTAGTTTTATTTCAGATACTTTCCAGTATCTTTAGTTTGTTGTATTCTACCTAGTTAATATAGTTAGTAACTGTGGTATGATCCACCTAGTTATTTCACTCCAGTTATTCACTAGAAGTTTCCCCTCCTCCTCTTTACCTTAAATTTTCCTGTGTTTGGAGTTCTTTTAAATTCTAGTAGTGGTCATCCTTAAAGACATTCTTTAATTTATATTGCTTTCCAAAATCAATAGTAAGCTCTGTATTCCAATCCTCCACTAGAGACATGGCATAGGAGAGGGCAGCAAATAGGAGCTTCTGAGTGGGCTCAGGAAGGGTGGGCATTTGGACACCCACATCCCGTATGAGAGTGCCTGGATCCAGGTCCTGGTTCTGCTCCTGGTTTGAGTTCTGGCTAAGATGCACCTTGGGAGACAGTAGATAATGGCTCAAGTGCTTGGGTCCCTGCCACCTAATGTGGAAGACCCAGATGGAGCTTCGTGCTCCTGGCTCCAGCCTGGCCCAGTTCCTGCTGTTTCAGGTATTTGGGGGAAGTGAACGAGTGATGGGAGATCTATCTGTCATGCCTCTGTGTGTACATGTGTGTCTGTCTGTCTGTCTGCCT